TCGTGCGCCAGCTGGCGAGATTTCGCGATGTTGCCGCCCTTGGGCCTTTCAGGACCGCCTCGTGCGCCTCGACCGCCGTGGGCGCTTCGTAGACGCCTCCTGCGTTAGGTGGCGCTTCGATTGACCCCAGTAGACTGCGCCGCATTGCTTGCACCACACTGCTTGCAGCACTTGCACCACATGGTTTGCACAACATAGCTTGTACCAAATCCGCCCACCCTGTCGGCGTGGAATGCGTTGTTCGTCGTGGTTGATGTCCTCGTACGTACTCGTCGTCTTCTTTTCTAGGTCCGTCACCTCCCCCCCTCTTTCCCTGGGCCCTCGTCCTCAAGCGCGCCAGCCATAGCGAAATGAAGCAACCCAGCCAAAGCGAGTTCAACAACGTTGTCATTGAGTCGAAGGGAAGCCCCTTCCCTTTGATCCCTTCCCCGCTGGGGGGGGGAGGGTCCTGGGGGGGGTCCCGGGTCCCCCGTTTGCGGCTTTTGCAGAGGTGCCCTCTGTAGATGCGCTGGAGGGGGGGGGGTTCGCCACGACGGATCTGCAAGAACGCCCCTAGACGACCCAAGCCCCACAAGACAGCCCAAGAACGCCTGAGAACGGCCAAATGGGACCCTCAGACGGGTCAAAAGAACCCACAAGGACTTTCAACAAGGCCCGGAGAGGTCATATCCATTTATTATCGGAAACGTTTTGTCCCCGCCCTCTCCCTCCCTTTTCCGTCGAGAGCCAAGACCTCCGGAATTGGTTGCTCCTACTAGCTTCCTCTCGCTGCTCCCCCACTCCTCCTCCTCCTCTTCCTCTTCCTCCTCTTCTTCCTCCTCCTCCTCCTCCTCTTCCTCCTCTTCCTCCTCCTCGTGCTCTTCCTCCTCATGCTTGCCCCCCTCCTCCTCCCTCGTCCGCCTCCTCCACCCTTCCTCTTCCCCCCCCACTCCTCCTCCTCCGCCTTCTACATCCCCCCCGCTCGTGTTCATCTTCGTCGCCTTCTGGGTCGGCAGCACAGGCCGTAAGGCCTTCGCAATACATGCGTCCAGAATCTTGCATCATACTTAGCCAGCGTGGAGCCCAAACAGTGTGTTCCTAGCAATCTATGTCGCGCAAGTATGTGGAGCATTGTGTGCTGTCCAATCCGCCGACCCCTTGGGGTCAAGGCGTTTGAGATGCTTCCACCTCCCCAAACCCCTCCCCCGGGGGCCCGGTCCGGCCGGTTTGGAGGGGGTGGGGGGGGGGCAAAGGTCTCGGCCGCGCACTTGGAGCCTCAGAAAAAACGGCCCAAAAAGGTTCAAAAGGGTCCTGGAACCGTCCAAGAGAGCTGCGAATCGACGGAAGATCGTTCCAAAACGCCGAAGATTGCCTCCAGACGGCCCCATCAATCCCAACGACTCTTGGAAAAGTACTATGATACGCCCCACGAAGGCCCTCCAAAAGCAAAAATCGTCCCATTCCCTACGGAAAACGTGCATTTTCAGCACATTCGCATTCACCTTTTGGGCTTCCACGCGGCCCACAACGGCCCAAAAAGCCTCCGGGATCGACCCTCCACAGCCCAAGAAGCAGCCAAAAAGGCTCCACGACGGCTTCCAGGCGATCCGCGAAGGCTCCAAAATCATAGCAACGGCCAGGGAGAGCCGCAGGACGGTCCCAAGAGGACTCCACAACAGGTCGACAGGGTCCCCCAAACCTGCCCAGACGGCCCACGTGGGGGACGATACGGTCCAAACCGCCCAGGATTGCCTCCAGACGGCCCCAGAGGCCCCCAAGGCGTTTGAAAACGCGTCCACGAGGCGCTCCAAGAGGGCTTCCAGAAGCAAAGCTCGTCCCGTTCCTTACGGAAAGCATGCATTTTCACTACATTCGCCTCTTGGGCTTCCACGAGGCCTACAACGGCCCAGTAAGTTTCCAAATTCGACCCCCGACACCCCAAGAAAACTTTCAAAAAGGCTCCACGACGGCTTCCGGGCGCACCGCGAAGGCCTCAGAAACCACAGCAACGGCCCAGGACAGTCGCAGGACGGTCCCACGAGAGCACCACAACGGACCAAGAGGGTCCTCAAAAGCTTTCTGGACGGCCCACGAGGGGGACGATTCGGTCCAAACCGCCCCAACTTGCCTGCATACGATTCCCCATGAGCCCGCGAGACGTTTGAAACAACTACTACGACGCGCTCCACGAAGGCCTCCACAAGCAAAAATCGTCCCATTCCCAAGGGAAAGCGTATGTTTTCAGCACATTCGCCTCTTGGGCTTCCACCAGGCCTACAACGGTCCAGGAAACATCCAACATCGACCCCCCACAGCCCCACAAGCTCTCAAGAGAGTTCCGGGACGGTCTCCGGGCGCCCCACGAAGGCCCCAAAAACCATAGCAACTGCCCTGGAGAACCGCAGGATGGTCCCAAGAGGGCCCCAAGACGGGCCAAGAGGGTTCTTAAAAGGCCTCCTGGTCGGCCCGAGTCGTTCAACAGTGCCCCTAGTCGTCCAACACTGCCTCCCGACAGCCCTACAAGCCCCCAAGACGCCTGAAAACGCTACCCAGAAGCGTCCCTAGTAGCCTTCCAGAAGCAACAACCGTCCCATCATTCGCGATGGAAAGCACGTATATCCAGCACGTTCGCCCCTTGGCTTGTCACGCGGCCCCTGAGACCCCTTGCGCGCCCCAACGCCACCAGGACGCGCCCCAAACGCCGCCCAAACGCCACCAGGCCTCGTTTGGAGGGGGTGGGTGGAGGGTCAAGGTGCCGGTTGCGCACTTGGCACCTTAAGGGGCCCCCCAAAAAGCCAAAAAGGTCCAAAACGCTCCCGGAACGGCCCAATAAAGCTACGAGTCGACGAGGGATCGTCCCACAACGCCGAGGATTGCCTCCAGACGGCCTCAGAAGCCCACAAAACGCCCACAAAAAACCACCAAGACGCCCTCCAGAAACAAAAATCGTCCCATCCCCGACTGACAAAACATATATTTTAAACATACTCGCCTCTTGGCCGTTCACGAGGCCCACGACGGCCCAAGAAGCGTCAAAGAGCGAGGGCCCCGCGAAAGCCCCAGAAACAACCGCGACGGCCCAGGAGAGCCGCAGTACGGCGTCAATAGGACCCCAAAACGGCCAAGAGGGTCCCCAAAGGCCTCGTGGACGGCCCTCCGAGGGCTACGAGTCGTCGAGAGATCGCTCCAAGACGCTCCAGATTGCTTCCCAACGGTCCTACGTGCCCCCAGGACGGCCCAAGAAACCGCCTGGAGACGCCCCAAGAGGCTTTCGAGAAGCAAAGAGCGTTCATTTTCTATGGACAAGATGCGTTTCCAGCACGTTCGCCTTTTCGGATTCCACGAGGCCCACGACAGCCCTTCCAGATCGACCCAATACGACCCACAAAGGCTCCAAAACAGCCCAAATGGGCGCCTAGAGGCCCCAGAAGTCACCGAACTGACCCAAGACGGCCCCCCCAAAGTCCCCAAATGGGTCCCGCAAAACCCACCGACGGCTCCAGAGCGCGAGTTACGATTCGTGAGGAAATCGCTCCCGGACGCCCGCCATTGCCTCCAGATGACCTCTGAAGCCCCCTAGACGACTCAACACGCCACCGGGACGCGTCCCAAGAGGCCTGGCAGAACCCTACCTCGGCCCGTCCCCGAAGGGAAACGTCTAAGTTTGACACGTTCGCTTCTTGAGTTTTCACTAATCCCACAGCGGCCCCCCCAAAAACAAAAAATCAATTCCCAAAGCCCCGTATGTTCACCAAAAAGCTCCCAGACGGCACACACAGGCCCCAACGAGGCCCCCGAAGCCACCACCAGGACGACCCCAAGAGGAGGGTAAGACGGGAAACCCGAATGGAGAATTCGAGCACTTCGCTTCGAAAAAAACATGAAAGGGCGCCTAAATGCACCCAAGAGCCCCGACGGAGATCCACAATGCCCCCGAATGACCCCCGGAGGCGGCCCTTCGACGACGAAAACCAAGAACAAAAAACAAGACTCTGCAACACAATTTTCTCTCTTCCCCATGCAAAAATCGTTCACCGTGGGCCCCCGGGGCCCTTCCCGGAATCCAATCGCAATCGTTTTCCCGAATGCATCCGGCCGCGGCGACAGGGGAGGGGCCCATAACCGCCCCAACCGCAACGAACCTCCCGAGTCCGACGGGTTACTCCGCACAAATTCGTTCTCCGAACCTCTCTCCGGCTCCGCTGATGCAATTTCTCACCCCAAGTCCGTCCGGTTTTAAAAGTCCCGGGGCCCAGCAGCGGCCCCGGAGACCGAAACCAATCAAAAACAGAAGCTGTTTAATTTTTTGGAAAGGCGGCCGGAACTGCCGCGGGCATCGACCTGGATCGAACAAAAGAGGAGAAGGACGAGGAGGAGGAAGAGAAGAAAGAGGAACAAAAAATGATTTTGTCGTCGCCGCCGATGTCTCACATATCAGCCTCCTGCTCGGACCCCACCTGGGATGGCGGCGTCAACAAGGGGTGGAGGGGGGTGGGAAGGCTTCTCAGAAAATAGCTGCTTCTTGGAAGGCGCCAACCTTGCATCTATGGATAAGGCTGGCGCCTTCTATGAAGCAGGGGTGCGTCTAAGAAGTCCTCCCCCATCCACACACCCTCCTCTTCGGCTACACGCAAGAGTGACCCTGGGTAGCAGGGACCTTCGGTGCGCGGCTTTCGGGGAGCCGCGGGGGGCCAAACCCAAGCGCGCAAGACGCTATTATCGTACCGCTTCCAGGGATCGGGGGACCCCCATGGGCCCGCACCGCCATGTCACTGTGGCGAAAGGTCACTCTTACGTCTAGTCTTAGGCCGGGCATGTCCTCCTACAGGCCGATTCGAAAGAAACATAAAAATAGTCGAGCAAATGCGCCAAAACAGTCAACAATGGTAGAAACATCGTCCTCAGACTATCATTTGACTCCTTTTGAACTCCTCTTGTAGAGGGACGTGTCCGACTTAAATCTAGCCGAGCCGTCCTCCGCCGCAGCGCGGTGCCACGTCGGGCGGGCGGCCGCGCGGGGCCTCCACGCGGGGGCAGGCACGCAGCGGCGGAGCCGATGCAGAGCGCCAGGCCGGTGCGCTGGGCGGCCTTTGACGGGACCGCCGCCTCCTCGCGGGCGGCGGGCACCCAGTAGACGACGGTGCCGGACGGAAGCTGGAGGAGGAGGAGGAGGAGGAGGAGGGGGAGGAGGAGGAAAGCGAGGAGGAGGAGGAGGAGGACGAGGATGAGGAGGAGGAAGAGGAGGAGGAGGAGGAGGGGGAGGAGAGCGGAGGAGGAGGAGGAGGAGGGGGAGGAGGAGGGAGGAGGAGGAGGAGGAGGAGGAGGAGGGAGGAGGAGGAGGAGGAGGGAGGAAGTGGAGAGGGAGGAGGAGGAGAAGGAGGAGGAGGGGTGGGGGGAAACAAAAAAGGAGGAGGAGGAGGATGAGGAGCGGGGGGAGAGGAGGAGGAGCAGGAGGAGGAGGAGCAGGAGGAGGAGAAGCAGGAGCCAGGAGGAGGAGAGGAGAAGGAGGGGGCGGAGGAGGAGGAGGAGGAGGAGGAGGAGGAGGAGGAGGAGGAGGAGGAGGAGGAGGAGGAGGAGGAGGAGGGAGAAGGAGGAGAGGAGGAGGAGGGGAGGAGGAGGGAGGCGGGAGAGAGGAGGAGGAGGAGGGAGGAGGAGAGGGAGGAGGAGGGAGGAGGAGGAGGAGGAGGAGAGGAGGGGAGGAGGAGGAGGGGAGGAGGATGGAGGAGGAGGAGGAGGAGAGGAGGGGAGGGGGTGAGGAGGAGAGGGGAGGAGGAGGAGGAGGAGGAGGAGGAGGGAGGAGGAGGAGGAGGAGGAGGAGGAGGAGGAGGAGGAGGAGGAGGACGGCGGAGGAGGGAGGAGGAGGAGGAGGAAGGGGGGAAGGAGGAGAGAGGAGGAGGAGTTCTGGGCGAGATTATGGGCGAGAGCTGAGAAGCAGGAGGAGGAGGAGGAGGAGGGGAGGAGGAGGAGAGGAGGGGGGGAGGAGGCAGGAGAGGGGGAGGAGGAGAGGAGGAGAGGAGGAGGAGGAGGAGGAGGAGGAGGAGGAGGAGGAGAGGAGGAGGAGAAGGAGGAGGAGGAGCAGAAACAGGAGGAGGAGGAGGAGGAGGAGCGGGAGGAGGAGGAGGAGGAGGAGGAGGAGGGAGGGCGGGAGAGAAGGAGGAGGAGGAGGAGGGTGGAGGAGGAGGGGGAGGGGAAGCTCTGGAGCTCTGGATATAGCGACTAGGTCGGGGTGACAGAATTAAACACTGGACTTCTGCTTCTTGGCTAGCTCGGCTTTGCTGTAAGCCTTAGGCCAAATTCCACGAGAAATCCGATCGAGGTATACGTTACGATTACCCTCGACTCGGCCAACACACGGCTTTGCTAGTTCTTTAAGCTGCTGAGCTGCATAGAACCCGCACGCTGAACAGAACCAAACTCCCAGTCCCGCGTGATGCCTCAAATTATGACTTGGGTCGGGAAAACCCCCTGCTATATGCACCCGCCGCCCAGGGGGGGGGTCAAAGCAAGCCCCGTCAACATTAATTAGCTCGAAACAAGAGGAGGTTAGCCAGTCCTTACGCTTCGCTTTGGTGGCCGTGCCTTTACACCTACTGCATTTATTGACATTAGATTCGCATAAGACATGCTGAGACGCAAACATGGCACAGATGGATGGGGCAGGAGGCCTAGGCCGGGCTCGACGGGCAGCTTTCCTACCGAGGCTTTTCTCATGCTCATGCTCACTGGCCAATGCTTCGATTGTACTCTGCAAAATTCTCATGCGAACCAAAAACGCTTTATTCTCGATGTGATGCACTCTCGCTCTGTTTGCACCCGGCACTCTGGCCCTGTCCGCTGCGGTCGAGGCGAAGGCGTCAGCCGCGGTATTACCTGTGCCGAGCAGCTTGGGCGCCTTGCCCTGTAGCAGGTCCAGAGCCTCGAGGTGAGAGTGGACGAACAACATTGTGCACTGCAAACTGGGATGTGCGTCAAGATGCCGTCCAATCTTCCACCACAAATCGCTGTCGGGTCCAGCTGGGTTGCGATACCTCTGAATGTGCCAGCCGATGATCACGCTCTCATTGTCGGTCGTGTAGACTACATGCCCCGCGCTGCACCGCAGGGCAAGGTAGAATGAGAGAAGCTCACCTCGTGGAACTGTTTGCCGCACTCCTGGAAGTCCTCCCCACACTCCCAAGAACAGCTCCATGTTCTCTGACAGGTCGTGGTAGCAAGCAAGACCGCAGCCAACTCTCCGTAGCCGCGGGTCCTTGCTCTCTGGGCCGCCGCTGGCGTCCCCGAAAACGTACAGTGGCTCCTCCTCCGTGCCCTCCCCGAAGCAGCCGTCGACGTACTCGCCTCCAGTAGTGCTCCAGGACTCGTCACTCTGAGGGGACTCCACTGCCAACCATGCTGAAGGTATGAGGCCTCGCGTCCAGAAGCAGGCATCTGCCTCCCCCTGCGCATAGGCTTCCCCCACATACTTCTCGGTGAGACCGTAAATTTCGTGCTGACACTTGCCCTCGCAGGCCCAGACGCGGTGAAAGGCTGTCTCTCGATGACCACGACATCGAAGGCAATCCAGTGACATCTCCTGCTTGGCTCGCTCCTGCCGTCTCATTCGTGGCCACGTGGCCCCGACGGCAATCGCAAGCATCAGGCCCGCGAGGCGACGACCTCCTGGTGCGCCCTCGAGGTGCTGAAGTAGTCGTCGGTATGAGTGGTTGCAAGCTCCCGCTTCGAGCCCTGCACCTTCATAATGCTGAGCTGCTCGTTGCCAGAGACCTGCAGACACAGTGCGCTCATATTCTTCACAGAACTCATTGGGCATGTCTATATTATCAACACCTGTGAGCTGATCGACTCCGAACTGCCAACTGTGCTCGAGCCCGTCGCCACAACTAGGTGTAATCCAACATGTAGGAGAAACAGGCCGCCACCCCGCCTGCAGCAGGTAGCATATCACAGCTCCTTGGGGCCCTCGAATGTGCCTGGCACGCTGAGCCTGAGGGACTGCCGACAAATCACGAACCAAGGTAGGCCACGTGCGATTGATGCCGTCGCGGATGCTCGGCTGTCGTGTCCAACAAGAAAGCCACAGCCGCAGGCACTCGAGGGCATCTTACATGCTGGGTCGCGTCCTGGTGCCTTCAAGTCGATCAGGGTCGTCAGACATCTGCCCGACATCTTGGGGCCGAGAGCGTTGCCTAGCTTCCTGCGACATTGAGTCATGGCATCTCCGAAAACGCCATGGAGCTGGTGCCCGTATGACCCTGCAGCTTGGGCACCTTGTTGCTCCAGCCTCGAGGTGAGGCCGTGGCGCCGAGTAGCTCGTACGTACTTGATCACACGTGTGTGCATGGCCGCGTGCTTGGCCTGCCGAACGGCCCTGCACGCGCGAGCATGTCGAGATCCCCCCCCCCCCCCCCCAGGTCGGCCCCCAAGTACGGCGCCTGGGGAACAGCACGAACCTGAAATCCGTGGGAACGCACTCGCCTGGCAATGATTTTGGCGTCATCCAGCTTCGTGCAGACGACCACGCTCTTGGGGGAGATGGCCAGCCCCGCTCGCTTCATCGAGCGGCAGGTGTCGACAAGGCACCTCACCAGCTTGTTGCGCATCGTCTCCCGAGTGCTCTTGACTGACTGGCTGAGGTCATCCAGCCACAGCCGCTGCGTCATGCCCACGTGCACCGTCGTGAGCCGATGCATGATGTGGTACGTCGCACACTTAGCAAATCTAGTGCCTCCTCGGAGGCCTTGAACAACTGAACGAAGTGGAGCGAATGGCTCCGACTATGTACCAGATTGCCTCAAACACCTTGCCGCCATGCACTGCATCAACTCCAGCCCCAGCACCTCGGCTGGGAAGTCAAGCCTCATAGCCGCTCTGCCCACCATCAGCCATCCTATGGTGTCGTAGAACTGGCTGATATCAAGCAAGCCGTTGCCCAGCTGAACATGAAGCCGAGCTGCGAGCTCTTCGTCGATAGCTCGCAAGAAAACTTCTCTCACTGCTGAATGTCCTCTGATGGCTGCGTCCCAATGAGCTTCACACTCAGAGGTCCACTGCTTCACATATGGTTCCCGTGTCTGCGACCACACCCTTGACAGGTGTGGTAGCAGGCCTATAATTCTGTCTCCTTTCACCTTCTTTGGAAGAAGAGTTCCGATGGTGAGCAAGACTTGGTGTGGCCAGGACTGCGTGGCCTCGCACACACTGAGTAAGGCCGACAGCTCCTGCAAGGCCCCATCGGGTAGGCGAAGCAAGTCGTTCGAGCTGAGGCGATCCACCCCCATCGCCGCCGATGCCTTGATGGACTTCAAGGCTTCTCGCAAGTCGGTGACTGTCAGCGGGGGCAGGGACTCGTACCTCACCCGTTCTCGAATGTCATCAAACAACTGCTCTACGCCCTCGATCTCGATGCTGGACCCGTTGGCTGATAAGAATGATGGTGCCCAGATCTTCTCCCACTCAATTCTCTTGTGATCCAAGACGTCCTTTGGATGTAAAATCGGTTTGCCGTCAACTACAACTTCTTTAGCCTCTGGCATCGGTTCCTTCAACTTTTTATGGAGAATGCCTAATGCTGGTGCCGTCTCAGCCCATTCTCTGAACTCTCCCATGGCCTGTCCAATAGCACGCCGTTGACTGCGAGCCGCTAGCTTCTCGATGGCCTGGGAGCTGACGTCCAAGGTGGCCAGCGTGCTACTGCGCAAATGACCAAGGAGGTGATGCCAATAATCCCAAGAGGAGCTGTCTGTGTGTCGAATGATCTCTGCAGCTCTCTCGGGGATGTCCTCCAATAGTCGTCGGCCTGAACCGAAAAGGATATTTAACTGCTTCTCACCTCCTGCCCGTCGGAGGTGTCGTGTGATACTGCTAATGACTGTACTGGCACGCGTCCACCAACTGCAGACTCGGTCTCGTAGTGGTGCTATGCGTGACGGAGTGCCTTGACGAACAGTCGATACTTGAAACTGAGGTGCCACACTGCGGGACGCTCCAGCGAAAGCCTGCTTATGATGAGTGTATATGGAAACCTCGACTGTGCGAATCCAACTGGCGTACAGGGCGCTCAACACAGCCGAATCGCTTGAGCCGGGGTGGTAGGCTATGGTGCCAGCAATGGAAGGA